TGATGTTCAAAGAAAGTCAATAAAGATCTGATCCTGAAGAACTCTTGGAATTAAAAAGGGAAGTAATAAATTCAGAGGGAGTATTCTCGATCTAAACTCTGATATCTCGTTATCCCTTACTCTCTTATATTTGATAACTTCCTATTTAAATTCTGATACTATTTATTAAGTTGGTTATCTCTGATACTTTTCACGTTAATTCTCAATTAAAAATATCTAGTTTTTGTCATCATCAAAAAGGGGGAGATTGTTAGAACAAAGTTTGAATCTACTACCCTAAGTTTAAGTTTTGATGATAACAAAATGCAAAGATATATTAATTGTATGATTCATGTAAGACATATATGCTGCCTAAAAAATTACACTCTGTTTTACAGAAACTCTGATAGGCATCAGCAGGAGAATATCTTCATCAGCATCAGAAGATGTAATATCAACATCAACATCAGAAGATGTTATATCAGATGTCAGAATCAGAAGATCAACATGCGCTTACGCTGAAGCTTGATGAACAGATCTGCGCGTAATAATCTGGACTCTGATCAAGACAACACTTCATCAGCACCTAAGCAGCGTCAGAATGAGCCAAAGCCAGAACACGCTTAAGTGGCAACAGTACTGTGCATTCAAGATGATTTATTACCAACGGCACCATTCTAGACAAAATCTGCTTAATAAGGAAAGATTGTTATTGGCATTGAAACAGAATTAACTACTCCAACGTACCAAATTTCAAATGCTATATAAACAACACAGTGAAGATTGAATTGGCTAATGCTCTACAACAATCTACACGCCTAAAGCTATCCATCATCTTCCTCACTCTCAGTTTGCTAAAAGCTCTCAAATTCTTTACTCAATTATTTTAGCACTCTAGTTCTCATAAGCTTAATTGGTGTAGTATCACAGTTGTGATAAACAGTTTTTGTAGAAAACATTCACACACCTAGATTTCAATTCTTTGTAAGAAAGTATTTCCTTGAGAAACCGGTTTGTGGATTGACTCAAGAAGGCTTTAGCAGTTGTTAAAGCAGTTGTAATATTCAGTTGAATATAGTGGATTAAGACCTCGTTGGAGAGAGGCGAAATCACCTTGACGGGTGGACTGGAGTAGTTTGAGATCAAACGAACCAGGATAAAAATACCGTGTTGACTGCAATTGACTTCCAATTTTTACAATTCAACCCCCCTTCTTGTGTTTTTCACTTCTTCAGTTAGGTTGAATGTAACTGGTCGGTAGATTTAAGTCTGATGAGTAGATTATATGTCGGCTTGATAAGTCCTTCCTTAGTTTTTACTTTTGTTTATATTTATTTTCTGTTGATAACATTTTCTTTACAAACCCATTTATCCCCAAAATCATTAACGAGAGATTTTTCGAACGACAATTCAATATCCAATCTTTGTGGACACGATAAATTCTCGGATAAATATTTCTAAAACTTTTGTTGCTTACCGCTATAACACTCTAACATGTGTGGAGACCAAAATCAACTCCTTCGTTTGGTACAAACGCTTGATTCCATATAAGGGGAAAGAATAGCGCCTAACTCATTGTAGGCAAGATGTGAAATTGGAGTATCCAAGAAATATTCAATCTTGAAATACTTCCATATCTTAGTGTAAACATGAAAAAATTTATTTTTGAAATGGTGTAGAGAAACAAGTCTATACCTGTCGTCTTCGTACGAAATAGCGTGGACCTCGAAAAGGTGGAATAAGAGGTTGGTGTAGATCGAATTCATTACCCCCTGATATCCATACTAGTATTCAAAAGGCCTCACGAAGCCCCAAGCATACATACAAAGTTATGAAAGGGGTGTGAAGATGGTTTAATATTTCTTTAACAAAATAAGTCAAAGGAGACATGCACCTAACTTCTAAAAAATGCAGTTGTAAAAGGGAATGGAACACCTCTTAAAATCATCACACATATGCATATCATCAGGGATCACTGAAATGGCCTAGTCAGAGGGGGATGTCACCTCAAAGGGGGAAGATGCCACCTTCTCCTCCTGTTCGTAAGAAGATAGTGTTTCTAAATATTCAAAGGCTACCCAAGAATCAACTTCTACAATTGGCGCCTCCATCAGAGTGATCTAGTCTTGTATCTTCACTACAAACAAATCAAAAATATATTAGCAACAATGGGATGGAATAAAAAGGGGATTTCATCTCGCGAGACTAAGAAAACCAACCCATTCGACGATTGGGACTCCTTGCCGGCACAACTTAAAGGCTGGAGCAAGAGAGTCTGTGAGCTAAGGTAGGTGTGAATGAGTTGAGCTATAGTAAGTGTGAAAAAGTTGAGCTAAGTTAAGTTTAAAGTAAGGAAGAGGTGAGCTAAGGTAGGTGTGAATGAGTTGAGTTAAAGTAAGTGTGGAAAAGGTGAGCTAAGTTAGGTGGACAGTGAGGAAGAAGCAGGCTAATATACATATGAAGGAGGTGAGATAAGGCATGTGCAAAGTGAGAAAAAGATAGTTAAGGTATTTTCTAAGTGAAGGGAGGTGAACTTATATAGTATGGAGGAGCTCAACTATAATAGAGGCATAGTGAGAGGTAGGAAACTAAGGTGACGTGAAACATTTAATGAAATACCTAATGTACACTTGATCAAATAACGATGTGGTTGGATACTAAGGTTAATATGAGGTAGAAAATTCAATCACACGCTTTGAGGGAACTTCAACAACCAAATTTAAAATCAAGTCTTATGCTCTAAAATTTTCTAAATTCTTGTAAGAATCATAACCCGAAAATTAAAGTTTGGGAACCACTCATAAATTCACCCAAAGGATGGCTTCTATGAATCACGTCAACCTAAAGGAAAATAATCTTAAAAAGGCTTCGAGCATAAGCTCAAAAAGAAGGAAATGGTGTATGGGTGTGGTTACCAAGAAACGCCTTAGCCTAGAAAAACAAGCGTAGGGAAAGGCGTCGGGTAGAAACTTGGCTTGCGGTATTACAAAAGAAAGGGTGTCTGAGTTAGGGTGTACGGCTTATGCATAAAACATAAGGTATCATGGAATTTTGAAGAAATCAATATAAACTCTTAGGCGAGCTCAAGTTTCACCTCAATTCTCTTTGTAGAATAAAAAGATATCAAGCATACAATTGAGGAAGTGAAGTGGTAAGTGAACTCACACGGATTGATTCAGTACATATACGCCTTAATAAGCTTGACGTTATATGGACTATGGACTAGCATTGCCAATTTGATGAAGAACAAACGTCTATGCCTTAACAAGATTGACGTTAAGTGGACTGTCATGAGCTGATTTGATAAAGAACAATCGTTTACACCTTATCATGCTTAACACATGGAAAAACATGTCACATAGACTATGTTACACTTTAGTTATACTATACATGATTACTACATTTGCAACATTCACCGTGCTAAGCTATGTTTAACTATTCAATGTGTATGTGTTTTTGTCCACTTGGTCTTTCAGGTCACATGAAAATCTACCTTGATATGTTATATTAAGTTGTTCCTCAAAATTATAGTCTTCTTGAAGAGCATTTCATGACATGTAACGCGTATTAGAAACATAAATTGTGCATGGTCAACTTGATATGTTATATTAAGTTGTTCCTCAAAATTATAGTCTTCTTGAAGAGCATTTCATGACATGTAACGCGTATTGGAAACATAAATTGTGCATGGTCAATTTCACGCTCCTGTACGGACGAGTGACATAAAATAAGTGTGATTAGTTTCATTTTCATCTACAGACAAGTTGTGCGGATCTTATAGACAAAACTTAATTGTCTTGAAAATCCAAAGAAATACCTATTAAGTCAAGATTCGATGATTCTAAAAAAACATACATTTAGATGGAAAAAAAAAAGGAACAAAATTCATCTAAGAAATACAATGTATGTTATTTTTAGTCATTTTCTCTTTTGAATATACCCATACCCCAAAGAAAAAGTAATTATTAATCAAAATTAATATCACCAACATAAATAAAAAAAGTTACAATATTACATTAAAAGACTAATAAATGTATATCTAATTGTGTAACTAATACTAGTACACCTATAGATTCATACACAAAAGGAGACTGAAGAAGTGCAACTTGTACTATTACACCAACAGATCCAACGCACTTCGTCCCCCCCAAAACAAATATAAACAAACAAACAATTAGATAATTCCAACTTTGCTTCACATTTTGCACCTCTTCTTAATGGCTTCTCGTTACGTTTCCTTTACGTCTCTCCCCTTGTAGGACCACCCTGCACTTTATTACCTCCCCTACTATTACCATAATAACACATTCATCAACCTTATTTACCTAACATTTTAACTCCCAAACAAACACTATAACGGTGACTTCTCTTTGCCAGACTGAAACACACTATCTGACTCACACCTAATTATAACCTCATCTAACTAAACTCTCACCTTATATTCCTTACCATAAAAAACTTGCAAGTGGCATATGTAGTCCTAATTCAATTGATAAAAGTCGATATTATTAGGTTATCTGCCATTATCAAAATTCAAACTCTAATATTTATGTTTGTATGAGGTTTTTACTGATTTTTTACAACTTAGTCTAATTAACTTAAAAAAAACTTGCAAGTGGTAAATAAAAGAGCCCTCAAATTGTGCTTGACAACTTTGACTCTTTAAGCATATCTAAAATGATTAGAGTTCATGTTAACAAGTAAATAGTCCAATGCTGTAATACAGTTATGTTACCGTCCAACTTTGTTCAAACGTGGCTGCTTTTCTTGTAAAGTAAAACGTGTCGGTGTCCCTAATAAGAAAATAAAAAACAATGAGTGCATGAATAAAAAACATATTGTAGTGTGGTGTAGGTATCAAAAGATAAGAGTAAGTTGTTTCACACCACACCTCAAATAGCAACACACTGCTTTCACTTTTCTTTATCAAAAACTTTCTACACTTGTTCACTAAGCAATAATTATACAACATTTTCATTTTAAGAAAACCTTCATTCTCATTTTGCTCACAAAGTTAGAAAATGGGAACAACATCAATAAACACAGTGTGTTGTTTCATGATTATGTTTATGTTTATCAATGTCACTGTTGCGGTTGGTGATTTAACAGATCGGAAGAGTCTTACGGTTAAATCTAAAGATGAAGTGAAGTGTACTCCGTGTGGTGAAGTTTCGTCGCCGCCGCCACCTTCTCCTCCTCCGCCGTCTCCTCCGCCAGCTTCCACGAGTAACTGTCCTCCGCCTCCTTCAACTCCAAGCTCCGGTGGTGGTGGTGGTTCAACTTATTACTCTCCGCCGCCGCCGTCTGCGTATTACTACTCCTCTCCGCCACCTCCGGCGACGTCCAACGGAGGAGGTGTAGGCGGAGGTTTGTATTATTATCCTCCGCCGAATGGTGGGAATGGGAATGGGAACGGGAACTATCCTACTCCGCCGCCGCCGAATCCAATTGTGCCGTACTTTCCTTTCTACTTCCACACTCCGCCACCTTCCCGTTCCACGGCGGCGCCTCCGCTGTTTAAGGGATCCGTATTGCTCTCCGCCGTGTCGGTTTTACCTATTTTTCTGGTGTTGTTTTGATAGAAAGAAAAATAAAAAGAAACGAAAATTGAGGTAAGTATAATAAGTACATGGAATTTTGCAGATCTTGAAGATTAGAAAGAAAAGTGAAAAAGTGAGGTGAATGAAAATGGAAAGTGTACTTATTTTTTTTGCTTCTTTCTCTTTAATTCTGATGTAATGTAGGTTGATGGATCTGTGATTTGTTGCCAATTTGTAATTGTATCTAGCTTTTTCATTTTGTTTAGTATGAACAAATATTATTTAAAGAATAAATTAAGCATTATTCGTTTCCATTTATATTTATGTTCATTAGATATTATTATTAAGTGACTTTATGTTGTTAGTAATCAAACTCAAATATTTGTTTTTTTAAGTAGTGTAGTGACTGAAATCCATATGAATATATGAGATATCATATATTTGAATTGCATAACATTTGCACAGCTATGAACTGATATAAAGTCAAATATTTTATATTAATTCAATTTTAATTAAAGTTTATTAGGTACTGTACTTTGAAATTATTGTTTGATTGTGGTTGATGAAGATGTTAGTAGTGTTGACAGCTGGAAGATGAGAGGGATTATGGTGTATCAGAGTAAGAGTGGTAAAATGGGTATATGTCTGTTGTATTCGTACTTTAGTACAGGACAGACTAAGAATTTAGGCCTTCATTCTCAAATATGACCGATCCGTCCCACCCTATTTTTTCCGCGAGTTTTTGCTGGCATATTAGCATAAAATTTTATATTTTTAAATCTAAAAGGTGCAGTGTCTGCGGACTTCCCCAGTCCCGCACTCACTTTTTTTGCAGGACAGACATAGATTTTAGACCCTCATCCTTAACTATGCATGTTCCATTTCGTCCTGTTTTTTTACGGATTTTTGTGGGACAGACCTAAACGGAGCGAGCATGCCTGTTTGCCACACCTAATTGGAGGTAACAAAAATGAGTGGTGTCTATTAGGAGTGTATGCAGTTCGGTTTGGATCGGTTTTAAGGCAAAAATCCATTCGATATAAAAATAAATTTACTTGCGATTCAATTTTAGATAATATATTAAAAAAAATTGATTTCATCTAATTCAATTTAATGCTATTTAATTTGAATTAGTTTTTAAATATCTAAAATATAAATTATATTTTTATTAATATTATAAAAATACTAATAAATCATAAATTTAATATAATATATAAGATATAGTATATTAAAGTTAATATTACAAAATAAGAGTGATTGATTATGTTTGAAATAATAAAAATAAAAAGATTAAATTGAGATAATAAATATTATTAAAAAAATAATTACCATTTAATAATAAATTCATGTAATAAATTATCTTAATAAAAAAATATATAAAAATATATTCATGAATCTAAGTTTGATTTAGATCAGTTTTGAAAAATTAATTTGAAATTCAATCTAAACCGAACGATATTTATAAAATAATATCTAAACATATTTAATAAAATTTAATTTTTTATAATTTTCAAATTTTTTAAATCGATTTATAATTTTTATTTGAATCAATTTAAATTTGAATACCCGTAATGTCCACTAAATTTATCTTCATCAGAGACAAATTGTTTGTTGTTGTGGAGGAGCCTTGTTTATTGATCCTTTGGCAGCTTTTATTTTTTAGTACTAAAAATAATTTAGTACAGGAAAATTTAGTACTAAATTTAAAGTTTTTAAAGTTTTTTTTTTGTTTTCATCTATTTTACTATTCTTTTCATTTAAAAACAGATATAAATTTTTACACATAAATTAAGAAATATAATAATATTATTATAAAATATTATATTTTTATTAAATTAATTTTATAAAGTTAAAAATAATATAAAATATAATAATTAAAAAATATAATTGAAAAAATAATAATATTATTTTTATATTAAAAAATAAGAATGATATTCATTTTAAAATAAATTTTATTTATTAAAATGATCCTCATTTTAAAACGGCAAGAATATTAATTAATCTTGTCTTCTACTGCTACTAGCTAACTTGTTATAGGAGTGTCGTTATCCAGGTCTCTAGAACAAATTAATAAAATATGAACATTTGCAATAAAATATTGATAGTAAGGCAACATAAATTATTCATTTATACAATATAATTAATATAAAAATTTCGCATGAGTCGTGTTTAGATTCTCATCATATGTATTTAATTTTAATTTATAAAGTTTCAAAGGAGTTTTTTTTTTGCCCAATCTTACATATGTCAAGTTTATAGTTTCTTAACTATTTTTAACTATTACTATTTTAAGAAATAGTTTTGTTAATATCAATGTTATTCATTTTATTTAATTAATTTATTATTTAATTATAAATTGTTATTTAATTATAATTGATAAAAGTTCAATTTGTAGTAGATGATTTTTAAGATTTTAAGATTGTTTGAATATGAGAAAATTTCAAGTGTCACGTTCCTCATCTTTTCCTTCAATCAACCAACAATTCCGTTTACATTTGTTTGTATTTCCAACAAATTTATCATTCTCAAAATTTATCTTCAAATCTCATATTCGAGTCGCGGTTCACATAGCCTTGGCTATTATAACACTACTATTATCAAGCCATACTACCTAATATTAGCCTAAGTTTATTTGATGTATATAATTAGTGATGGTAGTTATGTAAAGTAGCAAGTTGTGTTAGTTATAACAAAGTGCTGTTAATTACTCATATAAATAGGAACAGCCTTGTGTACAGGATTCTTTAACCAAGTTTTCATAATGAAGATATTTTCTTTACCTTCTAGTTGCGATATTATCATGGTATCAGAGCTCAATGAGCTCTGGTGATCACTCTTTCCCCTTTCTTCTTCCTTGGTTCAAGAATTGCGATTCTCCCCTTTCGTCTTCCTCGCGATTTTCCCCTTTTTTTTCTCTTGACAATCTCAAACTCCTTCTCTTTTCTTTATGGATCACCAGAGCTATGTCGACTTCGCAACGAACTCTGTGAATCCTTATTATCTTCATCCCAATGAGAGTCCCGCTTTGATTCTTGTTGCTCCACCATTGGACAACAAGAACTATCATACTTGGTCACGTTCTATGCTTCTGGCACTTATCTCCAAGAACAAGGAAAAGTTTGTTGATGGATCTTTCCCCAAACCGTTCGTCACTGATCCTTTGTTTGCACAATGGATTCGTTGCAACACCATGGTTGTTTCTTGGATTCAGCATTCAATTTCCACTTCAATTGCGAAATCTGTTCTTTGGATTGACTCAGCGGCGGGAGTTTGGAAGAATCTCCAAATTAGGTTTTCGCAGAGTGACGTGTTTCGCATCTCCGACATTCAAGAAGAATTGTATCGTTTCCGCCAAGGTACTCTTGATGTCTCTGACTATTTTACTCAATTGAAAATGCTTTGGGACGAATTGGAAAACTATCGTCCTCTTCCTTGTTGCAAATGTTCATTTTCTTGTTCATGTGGTGCTGTGGATTCTGCTAAGACTTACCGAGAACAAGACTATGTGACAAGATTTTTGAAGGGCTTAAACGAGAAATTTGCAAGCTCCAAATCGCAGATCATGATGATGAATCTGATGCCTAACATTGACAAGGTGTTTTCACTCGTTATTCAGCAGGAACGTGAATTGAACCTTGTTCCTTCTCCGGATACCACTGACTCTGCAGTTTCTGCGTTACATGTTCAAGGTCCTTCGGCTGGGAAAGGCTACCAAAAGGGAAAATGGTCTCAGCAACCTAAAGGGACAGGACGTGTATGCACGCATGGTGGACGCACAAACCACACCGTGGACACATGCTTCTTGAAGCATGGATATCCCCCTGAATTTAAGCAAAAAGGGCGAATTTCTCAACCTCCGGATGGTAATGGACAACCTCAAGCCAACTCTGCATCCACTGCTCCTCCTACAGAAGACTCTCAGTCCTCGTTTGGTTTCACTCAAGAAGAGCTTCACAGTCTCCGTGCCTTGCTTCAGCAGTCAAAATCCAACCCTACTGCAAATTCCATCATTGCATCTCCTTTATCCCTTAATTCCCACTCTTCAGTCATTGGTAAGAATCCCAACTTCTGGATTTTAGACACTGGTGCCACTGAACACATCACTTTTAGCCTTGCTATTTTCAATTCGTATCACACTATCAATCCTATATCTGTTACTTTGCCTGATGGTTCCCTTATCAATGCTAACATTGCTGGAAATGTAGTCATTTCTCCATCTTTAACCCTGCATAATGTTCTCTTCATACCAAATTTTCATGTCAGCCTTATCTTTGTTCCTAAGTTGACTATTAGCAATAATTGTCATCTTAATTTTTCCTCCAATACTTGTCATATTTTGCAGAACCTTTCGAAGAAAACGATTGGTACAGCTAGCTTGCAAAGGGATCTTTACATCCTTGACACAAGTGCTGCTATATCTTCTTGTAATTCTGCTATGTCCAATTCTTTTGAAACTTGGCACTTAAGATTAGGTCATGTTTCCCATTCTAGTTTACAAATAATTGCAAAAGCTTGTCCTTTAATTTCTTGTAAAAATAACATGAACCCTTGTGATTCATGTCACTATGCTAAACAAAAGAAGTTACCCTTTCCTGTTAGTACTACTTTCACTACTTCTCCTTTTGATCTTTTGCATGTTGATTTATGGGGGCACTTTGCCACTGAGTCCATTATGGGCCATAAATACATTTTAACTCTTGTTGATGATTTTTCTAGGTTCACCTGGGTTATTTTTCTTAAAAACAAATCTGAAACTAAACAAAGTATCATTCATTTTGTAGCCTCTTTAGAAAATCACTTTCATACCACTCTTAAAACCTTTAGATCTGATAATGGCTGTGAGTTTCTCTCATTGCAGCCCTTCTTTTTATCTAAGGGTATACTACACCAAAAATCTTGTGTGGAGACTCCCCAACAAAATGGGGTAGTCGAGAGAAAACATCAACATATATTGAATGTAGCTAGAGCTATCACCTTCCATTCTAACCTTCCTTTGAACCTATGGAATTTTAGCATTAAACATGCTGTGCATTTAATCA